TATTATGATGATGCAAAATTTGTATGTAGCTGAGCTAGATAATGTACTATAATTATTGATGTCATATTTTGGGTTCTGGGTTCTTGGGTTCACTCTGGGAGAGGTTTCACCAGAGCCCCCCTTTCAGCGGCACGTGGTGAGATTCTTCATGAGGCAGAGACTCAGTTAGAATTTAAAGAGTAAGTTTATTAGAAAGAGACAGGAGAGAAAAGACACTTGCATAGACACAAGAAGGTTGAAAGAGCTGCCCCGAAAGGGACAGGTTTGCAGAGAGAGAGAGACCTGCATAGCTGCAGGCAGTCTTAGGAGAACGGCCTCTATTGAGGGAGAGGAGTCACGAGTCATGGGCAGGCAGGAGGCTGCTGCCCTGCAGAGGGAGAGAGTGGGTGGGAAGAAACACCTGCATAGTAACAGGTGGGCAGAGGAGCTGCTGCCCTGTGCTGGTGGAGCGACTGCCCTAATAAAGACAGCCTCTCCCTGGGAGGGGCTCACCCCCTGTGAGTCTAGGTTGGTTGACTTTGAATAGAATCGGAAGAGATTTCTGATGACCTTCATCTCCATGTCCTCATCTTTCACCTTTTGGATTTGAGCTTCCGATACAGCCCCCAACAGTCTGTTATCTGCGGGGAACTCCTGCAGATGAAATTCAGGTATCCTGGGGGCATCACTGGCAGGGGTTGACCTTGATTTAATGGCTGTGTCAGTTGCTGCTCTGGCTCCCTCTACCCATCCCGTTGTGTGACTCAGTCTTGTGATGTCTCCCCAGCATTCTTTCTTCCATCACTATCACTGCCACTGAGTTTGATTCCCGACCAAGGAGCTGACCCACATGGCACAGCAGACCACTCCTGACTCTCCTGCTGCTTCCCTCCGCAGAGTATTTCAGTGGATCTGCCTGTTCTGCTCCCCACTCTGTCTCTGGTGAATCCTCTCTCCCCCACATCTCTGCTCTTTACTCCAGGTCTGTATGCATAAATAAATAAATCTTAAAAAAAAAAAAAAAAGAGCCTAATCCCTGAGGATTTGGTAGGCAAGTGGTAGGTGAAAGGTCACCCAGGACCCACGACCAGAGAGGCAATTCGGAGGAGGAATGTCGAAAACAATATCCGACGGTTTCAACATGAGCTGATGCCAGGTGGCCCCTCCCAATATGAAACAGAGACCCTGAACAAACAGCAGGGCAACATGACTCACCTATATTTTTTCCACTGCGTCTCCAGGCTAGGCAGATCGGGGCATATAAAACCCTAGCCTGCCACTGGGCGCACTTCTCATACCGGACATTCGGCATCTGTTAAACTCCCCCGCGAGTGCCATAAAACCTTCCTTTCTCTTACTTCTCTGTTTCTTCGCCTTATTCTATCTGCCAAACCTTACAATAGGCTTATATTTTTTATATTGCATATTTCTTTTTCAAAATTTGTAACCAAGCTAATTACAGAAAACATTCTATTTTAAAATTTATATTATATATTTTTACATCATTCTTATTGTAATTAGTTACAATACTTATTGTAATTACTTCCCCTCCCCACCCCCACCCATTCCTTATTTGGATCCTCTACATTCCTCCTCAAAGTGAAACCATCCAGCATTTTTCTTTTTCTTTTTGGTTTATTTCACTGAGCATGATCCCTTCCAGTTCCATCCATGTTGCGGCAAATGGCATGAGTTTATCTTTTTTGACTGCTGAGTAGTATTCTATTGTGTATATATGCCACATTTTCCCAATCTAGTCATCTATTTTTGGGCATTTGGATTGTTCCATAGCTTACCTATTGTAATTAGTGATGCAATAAACAGAATTGCAGATGTTCTTTTGAGTTAATGTTTTTGTGTCCTTTGGGTAGATTCCTAGGAGAATTGCTTGTTCATATGGACGCTCCATTTTTAGCAATTTAAGGAACTTCCAAACAGTTTTGCATAGTGGTTTGACCAGTTTGTTTTCCTACCAGCACTGTAGAAGGGTTCTTTTTTCTCCACATCCTAGCCAACAATTGTTGTTGCCATTCTTTTTTAATATGTGCCATTCTCACTGGTTTGCCATAATATCTCATTGTATTATTGGTTTGCATTTCCCTGGTTATACATATGTTGAACATTTTTTCATATGCCTGTTGGTCATTTGCATTTCCTCTTTGGAGAAGTGTCCTTTTAGCTTTTACCCATTTTTTTGACTGTGTTGGTTACTTTGTTTTTGTTGAATTTCATAAGCTCTTTGTGGATCTTCGTGATTAGTCCCTTATTAGTATTGTGTGCAAAACTTTTCTCCCAATCAGTGGGGTGTCTCTTTGTTTTGGTTAATGTCTCTTTTGCTAAAAGCTTAAAGTATTAGCTAAAACTAAAAGGAAACATTTTTAAGGTTCACTAAAATTTTTAGTTTTAAGGTAAGCATTTTGTTCACTCATGAACAAAAACTATTGCCAAGTAACTACGAAAAATAAACTCTCAACTGTAGGACAATGTGTGGTGTCCTTAATACCACACTCCTGTGTCATGGTCCAGCTCCAATGAACAGGACTGAGAGAGGAATCTGAAAGAAGCTTGAAATAAAGAACTGATGAACACAAACTAGAGTTTAAGAAAGGTGGGACTCGGGAAGGCAAGGCTCTCAGTCCGAGCTCAAGTATCTTGAGTGCCCCATGCAAATCATTTGTTATTAAGATAAACCACCCCCTCTCCTTCAGGTTAGTTACAAGATAATGATTTATTCTCTTGGTATTCAGCATTAATTTGGCACAGATTCACCATCAAGATTCTGTTTTATCAGGTGGTTTTATTCCCACACCTGTTTCTCCTTTAAACTTAGCTTTGCAGATCTAAGGACTAACATCACAGTCTGGATAAGGGCCTGTCTTCTAGCCCATGTTGACCAGTCTTCCAGTCGTGACCTTAGGATTTTCCTTCCTTCAGCACTTTAAGTCTTACGGGCCTCCAACACTCCTACTGTCAAAAAACCCAGAGAAAGCCAGAGCCTCCTGAACATCTATCTGTGCCATGAGGCTGTTATTATCCAGCGCTTTACTTCTTGAAGGAGATTCAGAGAGACTCAGAGATTAGAAATGAAAACTTTTTAGTTTATAGCCACAGGAGGCTATTTTTAAAAGCACAACATATTTATCATACTTTCTTAAATTATTTTTATTAGTGATTTGTTGTAATCATTTGTTTTCTGTCTTTTCTTCTATTAAGAAAAGACAAAGTTCTTTTTTTTATAATTTTCTACAAAGACAGGCAATATATATATACATGAAAAACACACAAAACAAGATTAGTCTTGATGGAAAGGGTATCAGGTTTTTTTATTAAGAAAAGAAAAAATTTATTTTCATAATTTTCTACAAAGACAGGCAATAACTAGGCCTACTGTGATAATTCCATAATGTATTCTAATATCATATAAATCATTATATTGCACATTCAAAACAAAATAACATTGTCATTATGCTTCATTAAGAAAGGGAGAAATAGTAATATCTACTGTTGACTTAAAAAGTGTCTCTGCAGAGGACCATCTACTTAACTGTCAAAGTAACTAGGAAAAAATCTCAAAGCAGAAGTACTGTGCATGGTACCGTTCATTTTCAATTGCTATACCAACATATTTATTGTCAAAAAACTCCCAAAGAATGCCAGATCTTCATCAACATCTGTTAAGGTCTATCTGTTATCCAGATCCTTACTTATTGAAGTATACTCACAGAGACTTAGAGATTAGAAGTCAAACCTGGGGCTGGGGTCCAAGCTTTTCAGATGGCTTTGCCACAATGAAAGTTGTGATTTCTTTATTTAAGTGATATATAACAACAAATGACCTCATAGACTGTTTTGAGAAATTTTCATAGTACTTTGAGAAAGGCAGGGAAATTCTTTTGCCAAATTCAAAAAAAAATTGTACCATAACTTTGTGTGACTTATTTATCTATAATATTAAATTAATTCACTTAATTACAAAAAAACACTCTTCTCCCTTTCTGTTTCATAGTTTTTTAAACAATATTAGGTAGCCAGCCTGATCCCTTTTTCTGTGTTAATTTTCATTTTTGATGTTCAAAACTAAGCATCTCTAGGACCGATGATTTGTGAAAATATAAATTTCAAAGACAAATGTTATAGCATAGTTAAAATTTCAGACACTCTGAAATTTACTTAATTGCAATGCATAATATTTTAAGAGATTATGAAAATGGGTGAAAGTATGTAGGGTCCACTGCTAGTGAACAGAAGAGCTACACAAGAGACAGATGAGAAAATCCAGAATAGCACAGCCAGTGATAAAGAGATCAGAGAAAGCCTCCGTATGATGAACTTTATAAAAATACTCTGTTTGCCCTCTGGGGTGAAGCTTTCCTATTTAACCTTTGATCTCAAGTTGTCAAATCACGCTGTTGATGTTCTGTAGTCTGGCTACAGAATAGAAGGTTAATTTAAAAAATTATTTATTTATATATGTATTTTACATCATTGTTCATTTTCATACAATATTGGCTTTCTCCTCTCAGGTGTATTCCCCAGAAAATTCCCATCACCAGTTCACGTGTGCACCATCACCATAATCCCTTGTGCTGTTCCCTCCACTGTAGAATGTTTCTGACTTATAGTTGCTTATTAATTTTGTTTATTTTTTATTGCTATTTTTTTTTCTGATCCCCTTATTTGGCTTCCCTGTATTCCTCCTATAAGTGAAGCCATCCAATGTTTTTCTTTTTCCTTTGGATTTATTTCACTGAGCATAATCCCTAGAAGGCTATTTTTGCAGTCTTAAATCTTCCTTGTGAAAATAAGTTCTCTTTGTATTTATTCTCAAAAAGGTTACTTGGTCCACCTTTAATGGAAAGAAAAGAACTATATTAAAGAAAAATGACCTTTTAAGTATATTTATGTAAGCTTAGAAGCTTTTAAGAAGCAAGGAATGAAAAATGGACCTGACTATTAAAATCACATTAGTATTCTTGAGAAGTAGAAAAGCAAGTGATTAGTTTTGTTTGCCTGACTGCTAATGCCAAAGCAATGTTTTCAATATTAATAGCATTGAAAAATGTAAAACAAAGTTTTGAAGAAATGACTCTAAACTTAGATCCATATAATTAAGGTACATATGTCTCTGACTGCAACTCATTTATTTATTTTATTTTTGTTTTGTGGCCAATCACTGCTTCAAATTGAATATTCTGCACATGATTTATAGCTGCCAAGGCACGTTCAGGAAGAAATCTGTATAAGAAAAAAATATATAAAAACTTTTCAATTTAAAATTGTTGATTGAGGGATAAAGCTATGCTCCTGAAATTACATACCTTTGTTAATGAAACTTGAACAACTTTGTTTAAAAAGTTATTGATAACAGAGGATTTTTGAGATTTTGTTGTTGTTAGTTAAAATACCCTGCATGCTACCTGATTTTAATTTTCCTCACGCCTTTCTTTCTTTCCTCATATTCATTCACACTTTTTTTTGGTACGTGTCTTTTAAGACTCATATTTCAAATTGTATATAAATATAAAGAAAACACTAGTATATACCAGTCTTTTCTCTTATATAAATAAAATCTTGTATGAGTGAAGATCTAACATTGAAGTCTGCAATTAAAACTGTTTGAAACTTAAAGTTGCAAATTACTCCTGAGACTAAAAGCTCACAGAGAAACCACCAGAATCCATCCTTCAGTATGCATTGAGTAGCTAATATACATGAAAGTACTTTTAGAACAAGTTACTGCCATAGAGGAGCTTATTGTTTAGCTGAGGGGTTGAGATGACTATCTTGAGACAATTATTGAGAAATATCACCATTTCTAATTCAAGGCTATAATTGAGGAGGACTAATGCGGACTGCAATACTGAAGAAAGTTTCCAAAGGACACCAGGGTGTTGTTCAAGCACGCTAAGATTTCAGTAGGCAGACGACTGTAAGAGAGCAGGAGTGAACGTGAGGGGATAGACATCACACAGTCAGTTTGTTAACGAAGCAACAATTACTTCCTTGTCTTTGAGGGTAAGATGGATGAATACACAAAGGGGCAGAAAAAATGTAGCTAAGAGAAAGACAAGGACAGGAGACAACAAGCACAGGCTTTTAACTATCCTCCTGAAGAACCCTTCATATTAATAGTTGCATCTGCTCACTAAATTGTCTCTCTCCTTTCTGTTCAGCCACTAAAGGCCTAAAGCATGAGGCAGTGTACTCCATGAGGGGAGTGTAGTGGTGCCAACAGAAAACATTGCTGGGCTCTTGGATATACAACAGAGACTACGAGTTTGGAAGATGTATAAAGGTTGGAGTAGATCTTTTCCAAAAACTACTGAAGTGGACAATGGAAAACAAAACAAAAGCCCATAGGAAAACAACTACATTTAATATGGTAACTGCCTGTCAATGAAAGTTTTAATCCGGCTCTCTCTGGTGGTACAATGTGTTAGGACACAGCACTGCAAGCTAGCTGCAGCCGTCTCAGTGCTTGATCCCTGCCCCTGAGGTGACCCACATAGCGCAGCAGACCTCTCCTGTTTCAACCGCTGCTCCCTTCAGCTGTGTACTTCCTCAATCTGCCTGCTTTGCTCTGGTGAATCTTCTCACTGCCCCTGCACCTCTGGCGTGTAGCCCAGTTCCGTATGCATAAATCATACGGAATCTTTGAGAAAAAAAAGAAAGTTCTAATCTCTGGCTGTGTTGGTTAATAATTCTCCTTTGCCTCAAAGGCATGGCATGCAACATTTGGGAAAGAGAATGGAGAATTAGTCAAGAAAGCTTGAAGCAAATAGTCAAAGTTGATAATTTATGACACCGCTCATCTCACAATAAATCATGTAGAAAAATAAATATCTATCTTTATAAAGGGAGTTAAATACAAAGAGGATTAAAAATAAGTCTCTGTTGGTGAGTAACAAACAGCCACAACACCTCTACAATGATCCCAAAGATACTGGGACTCCTGTTCACTATACAGAGATACCTATTTTCCAACTCTGGCAAATTCTATGTTCACTATCTTGATCACAATCAAGCGTAATAGTTTTAGATATTAGTAACATTCATATGAGCATATGAATGGGACCTTGGGACTGTGGAGATCCTGCACTTTGAGGGTAAGGGGATGCACAGAGTTGGTATTTAGAAGGGATGATGCATGATGGAGAACTTTAGGGGAAGGAGCACAAAACAATGACTGACTTGAGCCTGAGGTGCCCAATACATAAAAAAGATGTAAAGATATATAAAACATATATAACATAGAATAACATATTTAAAATAAAATATATTTTACAATATAATTTCAAAAATTGAAATTTTCTTTTGGGGGACCAAATGAAAAATGACATCAGTACCAAAGGGGTCTCAAAGGAAAGAGAAAAATATCAAAAATTCATTTAGTGAAATAACTGCTGCCAACCATCTCACTCAGATTTTCTGATCAAAGAGTTCCAAATAAGAAAATGCCAGATTGACACATTTCAAGACACATTATAGTAAAACTTTTGAAATCCAATGAAAAAACATCAAGAAGAAGAGAAGAAACTGTTGCCAAGGAACACCTGTTAGATTACTGACGGACTCTTAGTGGAAAGTTTACAGGCAAGAAGAGAAGGGCAGAATATTATTCTGTAAGATTATCATCCAAAACAGAGGAAAAGGCAAAGAGATATACTGAAAAACAAAAAAAATAAAAGAATATATCAATCCAAAGCAGAACATGAATGAAGTACTGAAGGGGTTATTATAAAGATGAAAAAATTAAATATAGAAGTAACAAGCACACATATTGTATAATGTGAGAAGGAGGAGAGGAAAATTGGGCCTGTAAGAATCAGTTTCAGTTCAAACCATCCAGCGGCTACGCAAGTAGCCCTTTATCTACTAGTGTCAGTGTATCCTTCCAACAAAAAGCAACAGAGTTGGGTTTTTCTAATGGCCTAGGGGTTAAATTTGAGTTCCGTCACCACTACAGCTTGCCTTTGATCCTTGACAGAGAGCTGACTCACATTTGGCACAGCAGACTTCTCCTGTCTTGCCTGCTGCTCCCCTCAGCAGTGTGTTAGTAAATCTACCTGTTCTGCGCCCCTTTTGGTCTCTAGTGTATCCTCTCACCCCTCCCTTAAATTTGGCCTACATTCCAGTTCTTCTAGGAAAAAAAATCAACAGAAGTAACACACAAGACTATAGAAATGGAACCTAAACAAAGCATAAAAAGATGACAAAAAAGATGACAAACTTAAAAAAGCAAACAAACAATAAAACTAAATAACAAGGAAAACTTATATTTCAACAGTCACTTTAGATGTAAATGAGCTGAATTCACTAATTAAAAAGTATTCAGGCCCTCCCGCGCAGCGGGTTGAAGCACAGCACTGAGAATCTAAAGCCGCTTCTGCATGAGTTCAATTCCCGCCTGTCCCGGAGGTGACCACATGGTGTGGCAGACCTCTCCTGACCCGCCCGCTGCTGACCCGCCCGCTGCTCCCCTCAGCAGTGTACTTCGTCGATCTGCCTGTTCTGTTACCACTCTGTCTCTGGTGAAGCCTCTCACCGCCCCTGCGCCTCTGGCCTGTACCCCAGTTCTGTATGCACAAATAAATAAATCTTTAAAAAAAAAAAAAGTATTCAGTGGCTGAATGTATTTCAAAACAAAAACCAACCATCTACTATTTATAGATGGACAAGGACAAGAAGACATAGATTGGAAGGTAATCCTACAAACAAATGGCAATAATAATAAAGAAAAACACTAGCCAGGAACAGCTTTACTTACACCACATGAAATAGATTTCAAATTTAAAAAAAGTAATAAGAGATAGAGGTGGACATAATATTATGACCAAGGACCTAACACAGAAGAAATGACCCTTTTAAATATATATGAACTGAATGATAGAGAACCAAGATATACATGTAAGACAATTACTAACAGAATTGAAAAGAGATTGACAACAACATAAAGGGATGTTTATTACTCCACTTACAACTATGGACACATCAGCAAGACAGAAAATGGAAGGAAATAATAGTCGTACATGAGGAGTTAGACCAGACAGACTTAACAGATTCTGCTGCATATACCTGTTTTTTCAAGTGCACATGGAACATTTTCAAGAATAAAGTATATGTTAGGACACAAGACAACTGTCAATAAAACTACAAAGATTGAATCATTCCAAATAACTCAGGCCACAATTCCAAAATGCTAGGAGTAAACTATACACATATAAATGAATGATATGGTATAGAAAATGAATCATTTTCTTATTATAGATCAGGCAAGCAAGAACAGAGAAAACCTAACTATTTTTCCCGGACAGGGAGAGTTTCCATGGCAATGTTCATAAGTGAAAGATTATCTACAACTCTAGCTCTATTGGTGTTTTAGTATTTCAGCAATTTGTGCTGTTCTTACCTCTCCAGTGTTAGGCAGATATTGAGATATGAGGGGACAAAAATCATTTTCTTGTTGGTAAGTATCCCATCAATCAAACTTCTTGCAACTTCATCTGTCTGCAATACAGGCCACAGTCTGTGAATTGAAAGAGAGAGAGAGAGAGAGAAAAGCTTGGTTCTGAAACTGTGGTTATAAACAGTCTTGCAAAGCTCAAGCTTGTCTCACTAGACATTGTCAATACATGCTCATTGTTTTCATTTTCTGTATGTCTCCCTTTCCTCCTTTTCCACAAACATTTGGCAGCTTGTTTTTGCAAGGTCAGCAAAGCCTGACCAGAAGCTGCTTCTAACAGCTTATGGAGCACCTCTGCTCTAGGGTGCACAGATGAGCCTAGAAGAAACAAACCGGGAGTAAAGGGTCAAACCCTACAAATCCCCCTTAGAGCACATGCTAAGTCCCCCAAAGGAAAATGTGATCCATGAAGAGCCAGGCGCTCTGCATTTGTACATTGGGAACTTTCCTCCTCCCTTATCCCTGACCAATCCAACGCTTACTCTTCACTCACCCCATAAAACCCCTAGCCCACAAGGAGTGAGGGGAGGCAGATTTGGACTAGTTTCTGCCTCCAGAAACTAGTTACCAAATCTGGCCTCAGTCTCCCTCAGTCAATAAAAGGAAACAGAGTTTGAGGAAAAGGAAAGTGGTTTAATTTGTCGATAAATGAGGAGGCCAACAGACTGATGTGTGAAAGACCACTGCCTTCCTTGTTGGCAGGGTACAGGGTTATGTATACAAGGGAAACAAAATGGGGGAGATTGGCAAGGGTCTACAAAGGGGAGAAGGAGAGCTAAACATGGAGATGGAGACTGGTGGGCACCAGCTTATTTTTTCAACAGATATTGTTTAACTCCCCTTTCCCTGAAATCGAGACAAATCTGTTAAAAAAACGAAGAGAAATTTCAAGGAATAGGGAAAGGCAAACTTGCCAATGGTTACCTGAGAGACCAACCAGTCATAAAGAAGGCGAACTTTGGGCCCTTCCTGGTGGCGCAGTGAGTTGAAGCACAGGACTAAGAAGCTAAAACCACTTCTGCATGAGTTCCATCCCTGCCCGCGCAGGAGGTGACCCACGTGGCATGGCAGACCTCTCCTGACCCGCCCGCTGCTCCCCTCAGCAGTGTACTTCATCAGTCGGCCTGTTCTGCTCCCCCCTCTGTCCCTGCGGTGAATCCTCTCACTGCCCCTGCACCTCTGGCCTATACTCCAGTTCTGCATGCACAAAACAATAAATCTTAAAAAAAAAAAAAAAAAGACAAACTTGTCAAACAAGGGGGAAAGACAAACTTGTGAATGCTTATCTGAGAGACAAGTCATTTATAACTATATCAATACTTTACCTGTCATGTACTGAAGTATCTTTTTTTGATGTAAAAGTTGTCATCACAGAGTCTGACTGTTAGTTTGCAGTAGACAGAAAACTCACATGAGGTCTGATTAATTCTTTTTGTTGTTGCATTAACTTATCTTTTTACCAAATTAGGATTTAAGTTCAGGGCACAGATGTCAGCTGTTCCTCCCACCCCATATTGATATATTTCTTTAGCATATTCTGATACTTTCTTATCTAGTAAGATTGCTTCATGGTGCCTTCAGTCAAAATATCAAAATGGCAGAAAAGAATTAGATGGCAGGGGAGAAGAGGAGCCAGCCATAGGGAAGTGGTAGGATTAATTATGAAATAGAAAGGAAACTTCTGGCTTTCCTCCTATGGGCTTGCTGGCTACAAGGAGAGAACTCTATAGCTAAGTTTACTTTCTTGTGAAGGTTTCTCATA